TCCTGCGTCCCTGACTCAGAGCGTGAGGTTTATGAGTGACGTGGGCACACGGCGGCCAAGGCAGACCGGCGCTGGGTCTCAGTTGTGGCTGTGTGGCCTTGGGCCAGTCACGCCCCCTCTCTGAGCCCCCATGTCCTCCTGGCATTTGTGCTGGGCGGCGCAGATAATTCCGGGAACAGGCCCAGAGCTTCTGCCGGGCTCCGGCCACTGCCCCGGGCGGCTCAGGCTCACCAGGACGATTAACATGCTGCGCACACGCAATCCAGAATGGGAAGTGCCGCTCCCCGCGCACCCTTCCAGGCTGGCAGCAAGGTCACCGCGACTCCCCAGCCTCCACGTGGCCGCCCGCGGAGTTCGCCTCTGCAGTGGGGACAGGCGCCCTCCTGGAGCGGGGGTGGGGGGCTGATGAGGACATGCGTCTGTCTCCAGTTCCCCCCACCACTGTCCGCAGGGCTCTCAGAAGCTCAGGGCCGGCCCCTGCCACACCCACACCACCACGGAAGGCCAGGTGTTTGGAGATAAATGCACAGGCAGGCAGGCTATCCAGGAGATGGTACGGACTGGGGGAGGAGGGGAGAGAGTGCCAGGTCACATCAGGCCTGTGGTGGCCCAGGCAGGTGAGCAGCCAGCAAGGACACGGCATCCCTGCTTGGATGCTGCATAAGCCATCACGGTGCACTCAGCCTTTCGGGGGGCCCCTGCTCCAGGTCAAGCCTTCTGCAGGGTGCTGGAGACACAGACTGGGCCCTGCAGGCTCTCAACGTCGGGACGGGGCAGTGGCTTCCTTTGAGAGGAGTCCAAGGGGTCAAACCAGTGCCTGGGCCCGCCTTCCAAAGAGGAAGGGTTGCCGCCCCTCCCACCGCGCAGTGAGCCTGCCTGCTTCGGGTGGGACTACAGGACCTGGTCTGTTTGCACCTGCTGTGCCAGCACTGTCACTGACAAGCTCTCTCATTGCTGAACACGTCCTGGTTTGGGGGTTCAGCTGTGGTAATCCCTCTCCCCATGATCTCATGCAGGCTTCCTGGGGCCCAAGTGCTTGGGCTCCTGCCACCCACGTGGGAGACCAGGATGGAGCTCCTGTCTGCTGCCTGGCCCAACCCGGCCCATTGTGGCCATTTGGGGAGGGAACCAGCACCTCTCTCTCTCCCTGACTTCCAAATAAATAAAGCTTAAAAAAAAAGTCATGTTCTCGTAGGCAGTTGTCACCACATAGTGGATAAAAAGGAGGCTACAAAAAAGCAGGAGCTCAATTTAAAAACAAAATGGGGGGAGCAAAATGATCTCACACTCCAATCTGCACACGTGCAGGGAAATGTGGGAAACGACACATCACACTGGTTTTCTGTGGGCACACAGGGTTGACAACTACTTTAGAGAGTTTTCTGGGGCTGCTGCTGTGGCATAGCGGGTAAAGCTGCCACCTGCAGTGCTAGCATCCCATATGGGCACCGGTTCAAATCCCGGCTGCTCCACTTCCCATCTAGCTCTCTGCTATGGCCTGGGAAAGCAGTAGAAGATGGCCCAGTTTCTTGGGTCTCTGAACCCACATGGGAGACCCAGAAGAAGCTCCTGGTTACAGATCAGTGCAGCTCCAGCCATTGCAGCCAGTTGGGGAGTGAACCAGCAGAAGACCTTTCTCTCTGTCTCTCCCTCTCTGTCTGTAGCTCTGCCTCTCAAACAAATAAATAAAAATTTAAAAAAGGAACCTCTAGCCCTCCACCGCCATGAGGCTAGTGGTCAAGAAAGACCCCAGAAAAGATGGTATTATACAGAGGTGTCATCAGTTCCCACGGCCAGCGGCTGTGCCAGTGGTAGATGTGGGCCACAAAACCTCCGTGGAGACAGGGAGCCCCTCACCCTCCAAGGCGGCAGGGGGAGCAGTGCCCCTTGTTCAGTAGCCCCCACCTGAGACTGCTCAAAAGGCTCACTGTTGTCCATCTCTGTCCCCTCTATCACCACCCGATTCCCGTGCTCGCCCAGGACCCGAGAACAAATCCAAGTCCAGGCACATGTCCTAAGGCCTGCTCTGGGCCAGGCCCCAGAGCACTGAGGGCAAGAAACAGTTCAGAGGCCTTTGTGGCCTCCCAACCGCCCAGCCCTGGGTCACCCAGCCTCTGCTTGCACACAGCCAAGCAATGGGAGTCCCTCCACCCCACACAGAAGCAAAGGCCTCCCCAAGTCCTGCTGGAGTTTCCTGCCCATGGGTGTGGTTCACAGGCAGCCACTGGGCCAGACCATGCCCTTAGCCCTCATCCCCAGCAGGTGTAGGAATGCATGAGAGCCCCTGCACCTCCCTCCCTCCTGAACCGTGGAGCGAGCTCTGACCTGGAGCAAGTGGCTGTGGCACACTCACATGTGTGCATGTGCGCACGCACACACACCCCTCTGCTGCTCACACCTGCCCAGCACCCCCACAGCAATAGAAGCCATCAGCCCACAGCTCTCTCCCTGCCTACAATGACTCCTCCTCTTTCTCAGGAACCACACCCCCAACTCCTCCGGGGAGCCCCGCCCATCACACCTACCACAGGAAGTGCTGCAAACTCTAGGATGGGTACCTACCGTGCACATGGACAGCTGGGCAAGGCTCTGGCGCTGAGACCTGTCAGGGAGCCCTCCACCCCTGCCCTCACTCGCCCTCCCGCCATCCCCACTCCACCCTCTACCCCTGGGTGCTCCATCAAGAGGCCTCCCCTCCCACCCCCGCAGAACCCTCAGCTCTGGCCGGGCATCCTGGGAAGGGAAGGAGCGGGCCTGGATGCCAGTGCTACCTCCCCCATGGGCCGGCTGTCCAGGCCGCCACTCCTGCCCTCACTAGAACTGGGGTCCTGGTCTGCCTGTGGCTCCGAGTGGCCCGCCGTGGAGGCCTCAAGCCTCGCCACCCTGCTCCCCGGCAGGATGCCGGCCAGGCAGAGGCCCGAGTGGAAAGAAGCTCTGCACCAGGGTTTATAACAACATAAGCCTTTTATTGCTCATTAAGCCTCTTAGTCTCTTAGTATCACAATGGAATGCTGAGAAAACAAGAACAAAACACGAGTCTGTGAATCTGACAAAGAGCCGAGATTTCAAGGCAATCGGGGGAGGGGCTGGCAGAGGAGTCCCACAGCGGGGCCCATGGCGTCTCTCCCGGGCTGAGGGGTGGAATGGTGAGAAAGCGGCACTGTCCTCGGCTGTCCTTGGCAGTTCTGCTCCTGACTGCTAAGTGCACCCTCTACATGGACCCCCAGGGGATCCCGGTGCCTCCCAGGCACCCGCCATGTGACCCTCCACCTCTTCCAAGCACGCTGCAAGCCCATCTTCCCAGCAAGACTGGGTGAAGGCAGGAGCTTGTGGACCCAGACTCCAGGCAGCGGCTTCAAACTCACAGTGAATTCACGAACAGAAGGGGCAATGCCTTATCTGAGAGGAAGAGAGCGAGCTTCCATTCACTGGTTTACTCCCCAAAAGGCCACAATGGCTGGAGTTGGGCTCACCCGAAACCAGGAACTGGGAGCTCCTTCCGGGTCTGCCACACGGGTGCAGGGACCCAAGACTTGGGCCATCTTCTTCTGCTTTCCAAGACCATATCAGAGAGCTGAATCGGAAGTGGAGCAGCCGGGACTAGAACCAGCACCATGGGGGTTGCCTTTTAAACAGCAAATCAGAAGTTCCAGAGTGGAACCTGAGTGTGCTTCCCTATTTTTTCATACACACCCAAGTGCTTCCGATGTGTAAGTAGAAGCAGAAGCCAAGTTTTAAAATCAACAAGTTGACTGAAATTCATGTCGTTAGAAACTGATCATTAATACAGAATCCAGCCTCTGATGAAAGGGAGGCGGGGCAGGGTTGTGGCACGGCAGGTTAAGCCACAGCTTGCAATGCTGGCCTCCCATATGGGAACACTGATTTGAGTCCCGGCTGCTCCATTTCTGACCCAGCTCCCTGCTAATGCACCTGGGAATGCAGCAGAAGGTGGCCTAACACTTGGGTCCCTGTGGAGACCCAGATGGAGTTCCTGGTTCCTGGCTTTCGCCTGCCTCAGACTTGGCTGTTGTGGCCATCTAGAAAGTGAACCAGCAAACAGAATGTCCCCGTCACTCGCCTTTTAAATAAATTAAATAAATTGATAATCTTTAAAAAATATACAAGGAAGGAAAAATACCCAAGTAGCTGAAGTGAACTTCCAGAAGCTCAGGAGAGGACCAGACAAACCCAAGTAAAAGCCGATCCGAGACAAAAGTAAGTAGGATGTGAGAAGAATCTGCTCTGCTGCACATCACAAAGGAGAGAGTCGTTACGGCTGCTCCCCTGGAGCAGCTGCGGCTCCCCACACTGACGTGCAGGCATGAACATGCCATCAGGACCTCCCCTGACCTGACCCAGGATCAGGCAGATAAAGAGGAACATTGCTTATTCCACAAGGGAAGCTCCCCGAGCAGCCTGCTGGGCCCAGAGACTGGGGCACCTGCGGCAGGAGGAGGAGGCAGCGCCCAGGAAGGAGGCCACAGCAGATGCCGGGCACCGTGCAGCGGCACAGCACGCATCACCAGCGATGCTTGCTGTCAGGTGGAGACGGCCCAGGTGCGTGCTGTGAGGGCCACTCCCAGGACTGGTGGCCGCAGGTCAGCCCCAGCTCTAACCCTGGCCCCCCGGGCACAGCTGCCGGGCACCAATCTTCTCCGCCTGTCTGCAAGTTTGGGCAAGAGTACCCGGCGCAGCTTCTACCACACCAGTGCTGGCTCGGAGGAGTGCCTCCCCATATTGAGATGAGGGCAGGGTGACAGCACAGGTCAGGACAAAGGAGCTGAGTGCTAGGCCCAGGAGGTGGGCACACGTGGCTGAGATGACGATGCAGAAGTCGAGACTGGGGAAGAGTGCGTGCCCCTCCACCGAAAGGCAGCCCAGCCCCGGGGCATCCACTGGACAAACTGTGGCCAACCTCTAGAATGTGCACAACCAGGCCCGGGCCCTGATGAGCCCCCGCCCCTGGCCCACATTGGCCCTACTCTCAGCCCTCTCAGCTCACCGGATCCATCTTGAAACTCTGCCCCAACACGTTTTTCTGGTTGGCATCCACACCGTCACAGTCAGGAACTCTGGCAGGAAGGCCGCAAAGAAGCCGTCGAAGTCCACAGAGGCCATGTTGTAAATGGCGATGCCGAGCTCCTCCTGCAGGAGGTCATGGGACTTGTGAACGAGGACCTGGAGCAGCACGTTCACGAACTGGAACAGCATGGTGGTCCGGAAGGTCTTCTGTGGGCAGAGAGAGACCAGTGAGTGGGGGCCACGGCAGGTCCCAGTGCCCGACCCAAGGCTCAAGAAAGAGACACAGCATTTACCTTGTGGTACAGCTTCTGCTTGGTGTTGAGAGTCTCCAAGTTGAAGAGATTTTGCTTCAAAAGGTGGATGTCAGGCTGGAGAAAGGACTGTCCAAAAGCCTAGGAAATAAGCCCACCATTTTATAAGTAGCATTTAAACCCCTCAGACTGGGGCCGGCACTGTGGTGTAGTGGGTAAAGCCGCCACCTGCAGTTCCAGCATCCCATATGGGTGCCGGTTCAAATCCCGGCTGCTCCACTTCCGATCCAGGTCTCTGCTATGGCCTAGGAAAGCAGCAGAAGATGGCCCAAGTCCCTGGGCCCCTGCATGCACATGGGAGACATGGAAGTAGCTCCTGGCTCCTGCCTGCAGATCAGTGCAGCTCCAGCCATTGTGGCCAATTGGGGAGGGAACCAGTGGATGAAGACCTCTCTCTCTCTCTCTGCCTTTGCTTCTAAGTCTGCCTTTCAAATAAATACATAAATCTTAAGCCCCTCAGACCAAGTCTTTCCAGGCCCTCGACCCTAAGCACAAGCCTGCCCTTATGTGGAGGGCCACGGCGAGCGCACCTGCTGCCCCAGGCCTCCCGACCTTCGGTCAGACCTGAGGAGTGCTCCTCACAAGGCTCAGCCTGAGTCTTCCCCACTGGGTCCTGCTTCTTCTTTCTGCCTCATCTCACACACACACCCCCTTACAAAGCTCTGAGTCCCTGTCTTTGGGAACCTGCTGCTTTCACATGGGGTGAATGATCTGAAATCCATCTTTGGTGGTATCCATACCAGCCATGTGTTTTTTCCCATGGCTGAGTTAGTACATAACACGGATGTGCCCGTTTGTACATCCATTCACCAGCAGATGGGCATCTGCACTTTCCCAGTTTGGGGCAATCAGGAAACAAGCCTTTATAAACACCTGTGTTCAGGTTGTGTATTAATGTTTGTCTGCGTTCATCTCGGGTAAAATACTCAGAAGTAGAACTTCCCACCAAACCATAGCTACACATAAGCAACTGCCAAACTGTGACGCTGTGAGCAACCCTGAGCCAGGGCAGTGCTGGAGAGGGAGGGGGTGGGGAACAAGTACCTGGCTACTCCAACCCAAGCCCTCCAGGCAGGAATTCCCACATGTGTGTTGTATGTGTGTGTGTGTGTGCACACTGTACATGCATGCCCACACGCATGGTGTGTGTTGGCTGAAGGGAGGAGGGGTAGGAATTCCTCTGGCTTCCCCATGAGGAAAAGCACAGTGAAAAAACAAAGACAAGCCCCCCTCCAAGCCCCCGTTAGTCTGGGTCTCAGAATACAGAAGCCTGGGCCCCGGCAGGGTAAACTGCTGCCCGCGACGCCAGCATCCCATATGAGCACCTGTTTGAGTGCCGGCTGCTCCACTTCCAGTCCAGCTCCCTGCTAATGCACCTGGGAAGGCAGGGGACGATGGCCCAAGTGCTTGGGCTCCTGCACCCATGTGAGAAACCCAGATGGAGTTTCTGGCTCCTGGCTTTGGCCTGGCCCAGCCCCAACCATTACAGCCATTTGGGGTGCAAACCAGTGGATGGCAGACCACACCCTGTCTCCTAACTCTGCCTTTCAGATGAACAAATAAATCTTCTTTAAAATCAGTCTTTAAAAAAACAATACAAAAGCCTGACAGCTGAGTGCAAAAGGTAGGGAGCATCTGACAGCAGCTCCCAGAAGCCCAGCGCTGCCCACAGGGGCCACCACTGCCAGGAGCACGGGACCCACACAGCTCACTTTTCTACCTGACAGAACCATCACCACTGCTCGCTCACAGGGCAGCACCTCTGCTGATGGCCGCCCCCCACCCCCCTAGTGTGAGTTAGTGCAGGGGGTGGGGTGGGGCGGGAGGCAGGCAGGCAGGATCAGCCCTGTTTACAGAAGAAGAGACAGAGGCTCCCTACATAGTGAGAAGCTGGGCTGGGCTTCAAAGACAGGACATGCTGCAATGGCCAGGTGGGAGGAGGTGGGACCACACGCCAGGAAGTCAGCCAAGGAACAGGCGAGCCAACGGACCCAGCGTGGGGTGCGCCTGTCTTTGGCCCTTGCCTTACCTGCATGATGGCACTGAACTGGGGCTCATTCTCACTCTGCTCCTCGGCTAGCCCCCACTGCACGCTGGTCAGCACGGTGGACTTGAAGAAGTACCTCCAGTTGTGATGGAGGGTCTGGAAAAGGAGCTCAAACAGCTTGGCCTTCACATGCGGGGAGGGCCACTGTGGAGACACACACATGGACGCTCAGGCCTTCCCTTCCTGCTGCCTTGGCCCTGCAACAGAGGCCAGAGAGATGCCTGCTGCCAGCAAGCAGGGCACCGCTTCCCACACATGCTCTTGTCACCGCCTGTGCAGAAAACCTGAGCCCACAGTGTCACCATGCACATCAGGAGCGCTCGGCAGAGACGGCCCACGCTGGAGACAGACACCCCCGTCAGAGCTGAGGGGCCCTTTTTCTGATGGAGGCATTCAGCCTTACACACCAGGCAAAAAGGCAGCCAAGTGAGGGGCCAATTAGGACCACAGATTCTCTGTTCTGAAAAATGCCAATATGACCGTCCCATCTTGGTTGTGCCATTCACTTTCCTA